TTGCCTCCTCATGACAGAGACCCACACTTGGTGCCTACTCCTGCAGCACGGCTGATGCTCACTGTAGCTCTGCCCACTGCTGGGAGACAGGGGAAGACCCTGGCCACCACTCTGCTCTTCTCCCAACTCCCTCCTCCCATGGAACTACAATAAAAGCTGTCTTGCATCGCAATGTTGACACCTGGTTTTTCTTGATCCTTCCCTCTCCTTTCCCTCTTCCCCCAAACATCAGGGCATCTCCGTGTGGGCTGCTTGAATCTCCCACAGCAGTGCCCTTGGATCCTTTGGGCAGTTTGCTGAGTGTGTTACAAGTGACGAGGAGAGGGCCAGCTGTGTCGCGTAGAGCACATCCTACTGAGCTTCCTCTGGTGTCCCACCAGCAACGAACACAACACATTCCCAAACCCACTTCAGATCCATGGAATTGCCAGGGGTGTCTTGCAGAAGCTCTTCCAAATCCTCTGCAAAACCCTAATGCCTGGTATCCCCTCCTTTTATTGGCTTGTTCGTGGTCACATGTGGAGGTGCAGGGAAATGGAGAGACAAACACGGCATGTACAGGGCTGCTGGCCGTGCCCCTGTGCCCAGATAGAGGAGGGGTCCACTGGGAACTTTTGAGATAGACACAGCTAAGTCTTTCCAAGATTCCTTTCTGAGCTGTCCAATGGCCATGGGTATTGAGTGACATGAAGCACAAAGCTCTCTGAGCAGGTGGTTGGACTGCCTGCCCTCCTGAGGTCCCTCCTTTCCCCAGGTATCTTCTGTTCTAGTGATCCCGGCACTGCAAGGTGTTCCTGGACAGAGGCAGTTGTGGGCAGAGCCATGAGGATGGGCATTGTGGCATCACGTTGGTCACTGCTGGGGAGTTCAAGCAAAGATGTCTCATTCACAATTGTGAACACAGAGGATGGGGCAAAAGGCAGCAAAATTTCAAGAGCATGCATTATTTTTTTCTCTGCTTGAACTGAATTTGGCACCTCTTCTCGTATTTTGGAAGTTTCCATGTCTGGACATCCCCACATCTGTTGAGCACCCCTGGCCCTGACTGTAAGCCATACACCAAGCCCCGGTCCACGTGGTCTCCCCTGTGTGTCTGCTGAGGCCACAGTGGAGGAAGGGGTTCCTGATTACCCTGTCACGGCTGCTGTGGTTTGGTGCCTTGGTGCATGTGTGGAAGTGTGGGCTACATTGTGGGCTGGTGTATGAGGAAGGCCAACAAAGAGCCAGCCAGGTGTGGTCCAGAGCATGAGGCTGTGGGAAGCTCTCCTGTCATTCCTGGACAGAGACATGTCCCCAACCTGTGGGTGAGTGACACATGGAAAGCCAAGAGCTTCTGCTCTAGCAGTTTGGGCAACACAGGGCCAAAAGTGCTCCAAGGAGGATTGGGAGATGGAGGAAAAACAGGAGAAGGATGAGGAGGTGTGCAAGAATGTGTAGAGGATGGAATCAGGGCAATTGGGGAGGTGCTGGGGCTTGCTCACCTTCTGTCCTCTCGACCCGTGGCTCTGACCTGCGCCTTTGCCCGTATGGTGGCTCCATTTCCTTCCCAAAGCGCACAAAGCTGCCCATGGGGAACAGCCAGAACTGGTGGCCAAGGCACTACTGGGCCCAACAGCTCTTCTTGGGCTGCAGCGTTCAGGGGGATAAGGTGCGGAAAAGACAGGGAGGGCAAAGAGGGAGAAGCTGTTGTAGAAGATGAGCCCTGTCTGTACTCAGGATGACCCTCCTGCAGAGGGATGTTATACCAAAGGGCAGGCAAGAAGAAGCCAGGGAGCACCTCCAGATGTCCCTGGTAAGACCCTGTGTGGGAGCTGACTGGCACGCTCATGCGAACTCAATGCCACTTGGGGTATTGAGTATGGAGGAAGGACCAAATAAAACCAAGGGTCGACATTATGATGCAAGACAGCTTTTATTGTAGTTGCAAGGGAGGAGGGAATGGGGAGAAGAGCAGGGCCCTGGCCAAGGGCAGCCCACATCTCCTGGCAGTGGGCAGACGTACAGAAAGCGTCAGCCATGATGCAGAAGATGGCACCCAACATAATGCTATGTTGTGATGGGAAGTGAGTCCTGAAGATGTACTCATGTGGGGGAGGAGGAGGGCAGAGTTGAGACCCATGCAGGCAGGAGATGTTCAAATTCTGCAGTTCAGCAATGCTAAAGGGATGTCCTTCTTTTGAGCATCGTGCTGGGATATGCCAGGGCTTTGCCAGAGCTCTCCTTCATCTGTGGCCTGATGCAGTGTGGGGTTTAGCAGGGCCCGCAGTTGCCACTGAGGTACCTGTGGCCACGGCGCCAGCCGCCATATCCGCAGCTCCCCAAGCGTCCCCAGCCCCCCTAAAACACCAAGCCTCCAAAACCACCACGGCCTCCAAAAGTGCCGCCGTAACCCCCTCCAACACCGGGGGCTCCCGCTGAGCCAACAACGCTGTACTGAGGGAAGGAGCTGAGGATGGGCCCGGGGAAGGTGACCACCGAGGCCGGGGGCTGGATGACCACCGTGGAGTCGGGGCACTGGCGCACGCAGGGCTCGTTGGCGGTGTCAGCCAGCGGGGCCGGGGCGGCCACCCCACAGGAAGGGATGCACAGGCTGGAGCACGACATCTTTCAGGCAGGCAAGGAGGCCGGCAAGAGGAGCACAAGCTATGCATCATCTCAGGCACTCAGAGCAAAAACCTGATCCAGAGGTGAAATGCTGCTCTAAACCACTTGCTCCCCTCATACTCCCTGGTCCCGACTTGCCCACAGGACGGAGGAAAAACTCCCTCCTCCAAAGCAGATGGAAAATGACAGAGCTCCCAAAGGACTTGAGTGCATTGGTAGACTCCGAGTATTGTACGTACAAGTCTAAATTTCCATCCCTTGCATAGCTCTGGAACAGCACCATCACATCCTAACTATGAAAGTGTGGTGCAGGCCTGAGCAAAGGAAGCCTTGAGAAAGCCACTGCAGAGGAAGGAAAGATGGAGCTAAGCCTTGGACTTACCGCGGTGATGAGGAGAGTCAAGCGGAGGAAGGTGGATAGAGGGCTGGGAAGCTCTCAGCTCTTTTATACCTGTCTCGGACTGCTCGGGGCGTTGGCCAGAGGGTAGTGGTGGAAACCCCAGCTAATCATGAGATCAAGAGGACAAGCTTTATGGCAGAGGTAATGATGAGAGACAATTAAATCCCTCTTCATTGTGGACGTTGCCCTGTTACTGTGCCCTGGAGAAGAAAGAGGTGGTGGGAGGGACAGACTGTGACACACCATTACATGAAAGACAAGGAACTGCTGTAGCTGACTTCATGGCACCAATAAACCCCGATCTGTCCCTAATCCCCCACTTTGCTTACATGGAAGAATCCTGGGCATCTTGCAGAAGATTGCTGTGCTCAAGCACGCCACACTCAGCAGAAGCCCAACCACGTGCCCAGAGCCCGCAATGCCCAGCGTGCCTGTGGGGAGCGTGGCCACGTGCAGCCTGGTGCCTCTGGGTGCTCGGCCAGCATCTCCTGGCACAGCCCTCAATGCCCAGCGTAGAAATCAAGTCCCTCCAGAGAGGGTCCCTCGCAAGGACCACGCTCACAGACACATGGCCAAAGAAGCAGAGGGACGGATAGCTGAACAGACACCTAGTTGAATAGCTGAACAGACACATATTTGAATAGCTGAAATGTCCTGGTCCTGTTCTTGCCCTCTTCTGCTCCTCCGTTCACGTCTCCACTGATGCAGGGCACCAGTGCCTGCTCTCTTTGCCCTCCCAACCATGTCTGTGCCAGCACTGTTTGGATGGAGCTTTGTCCCACACGGGACCCATCTCCTCTGCTCTTTGCAGGACTGTCAAGTGAAGAGGGGAGCTAAAAATCAACAAGCCATGCAGTGGCTGGAGTATGCCCAAAGCTTCGGGATACCCCTTGCTCCCGGTACTGCGATCTCCCCAGCCCTTGTGTCCTGGATTGAGGCCCCATCATGGGGCACAGCTGACATTTGGGAGGTGACCTGAGCAGGTGGGATGGTTTCTCCCTTTGCCCAACATCCTGTTGCCTCAGTTTACCGCCTCGTAAAAGGGAGGTAATGACAGGCGTGATGGCTGTGCACAGGATTGCAAAGCATTTCTGCAAGATGCCCAGGACTCTGGCACAGAAGCAACGTGGGGGGATTAGACACAGATTAGGGTTTATTGGTGCCGCCAGGTCAGCTACAGCACTGCCTTGTCTTTCATGTAATGTTGTGTCATGGTCTGTCCCTTCCCACTACCTGTTTACTCTGCAGGGCACGTTTCTCTTCCGGTATATCCAATTAGGATGGGTATAACTGCCCGGCATCATGATCTGTTTCATTAGGCTTCTCTGATGGATCTCATGATTGCCTTTGCTTTCCATCACCACCCCCTTGGACAATGTCCCAGGCACTCTGGGACATGTATAAAAGAGATGAGGGCTTCACAGTCCTCCATCCACCTTCCTCTACTTGACTCTCCTCATCAACCGGGTAAGTCCAGCTCCTGGAAGACTCCTGGGGATTCCTCCCTGTCCTCCTCGATACAGCCCCTTCCCCACACCTTTGCCTAATCCCTGGCGTCTCTTGCAGGACTCCTTGCCTGCCTGAAAGATGTCGTGCTCCAGCCTGTGCATCCCTTCCTGTGGGGTGGCCGCCCCGGCCCCGCTGGCTGACACCGCCAACGAGCCCTGCGTGCGCCAGTGCCCCGACTCCACGGTGGTCATCCAGCCCCCGGCCTCGGTGGTCACCTTCCCCGGGCCCATCCTCAGCTCCTTCCCTCAGTACAGCGTTGTTGGCTCAGCGGGAGCCCCCGGTGTTGGAGGGGGTTACGGCGGCACTTTTGGAGGCCGTGGTGGTTTTGGAGGCTTTGGGGGCTATGGGGTGTACGGAGGCCATGGGGGCTCTGGGGGCTATGGAGGCTGTGGGCTTTATGGGGGGTACGGAGGCC